AGAACCAGACAAGATATATGAAATTGAAAATGTTCAGGGTAAACCCAATTTGTCCAAAAGAGCCAAAGAGCCTTCTCCTCCAAATACCCATAACCCTTTTGAACCTTTGGCGATGGATGTTGTTCCCTCAGTCCCAGTCCATGGGAAAGGGTCTTCCTCTCGCTCACTATCTCCAGTTGAGCCACCATCAGCGGCTCTAATAAAATTATTCAGTAGAATTGCAGAGGGCTAAAGAATAATTTTAATGATTTACAGTTTTTAATACAAGATTTTAAACCATCAGCATTTTGTTTACAGGAAACTTATTTTAAAGATGCCGATCAACTCCAGATAAGAGGATGTTCCATATTGGTGAGGCAGGGTGTTATACATAGCCCCGTTCCTCTAAATACACACCTTCAAACATTGTATTTACATTATGCTCACTTTATGTTCCTCCATCTTCTCTTCAACAAACTGACCATCAAGCACTATATGACCAGCTCCCCAAGCCCTGTATCATTATGGGCGACCTAAATGGACATAATCCACTTTGGGGAAGTGCTGATTCCAACCGGAAAGGGAAGATACTAGAGGATTTCATTTCTGATAACGCTTTATGCATTTTTAATGATAACTCTAAAACCTATTTACATCCAGGTACAGGCACCTATTCCTCACTTGCCTTATCACTTACAACCTCAGATTTGCTAAATGAATTCGAATGCTCAGTCCAAGACGACCTCTGTGGAAGTGACCATTTTCCAACGATTCTTCAAACAATAGCTCCTGATGTTCCTCCATCATCAAGATGGAATTTCACAAATGCTAGCTGGACTTTGTATCCCCAAGTCCTCTGCAAATCCACACATTATTAAACCATGGTGTAATGATACGTGCAAGCAAGCTAGAAAGGCACAGAAGAAATCTGAACATTATTTCCGTCGCCATCCTATGGTGCATAATTTAAATCAATTCAAAATTCGAACTGCTAAAGCACGGCGTACATTTAAGCAAAATAAACGTATGTCTTGGCAAGCTTACGTTTCAAAAATAAATTCACGAACGCCGATGTCCAAGGTATGGAACATGATCTAGAAAAACAAAGGTAAGGGATCTAAATCTGGCATTCACAATCTTAAGAATGGAAATGAGTTGGTAACTGATAACTCTGATATTGCAAATAAACTGGGTGAAACTTTGGCCAAACATTCTTCCTCTTTTCCAATTATGTGCCTCAATTTCAAAAATACCAAAAGCAGCAGGAAAAGAAAACTATCAATTTTAATTCAGATAATGGGGAAGATTACAATGAAATATTTTCTATTCATGAACTACATACTGCCCTCTGACAAGCTCACGATACTGCTACTGGAGCTGATAACATACATTATCAACTCCTGAAGCACTTACCAGAATCATGTTTGCAATGACTGTTAAATATTTTTGATGAAATTTGGACGTCAGGACGATTTCCACCGTCTTGGCGTGATGCCATTGTTGTTCCAATACCTAAACCAGGACGTGATCACACAGATCCATCAAATTATCGACCAATTTCATTGAAAAGCTGCGTTTGCAAAACCATGGAACGCATGATAAATAATCGACTCATTTGGTACTTCTAATTAGAAACCAACAATCTCATAACAAATAAACAATGTGGTTTCCGTAAGAACAGAAGTACTATCGATCATTTAGTACGTTTGGAATCATTTGTTAAAAATGCCATAATAAACAAACAACATGCAGTGTCTATCTTTTTCGATCTCGAAATAGCATACGACACTACAAGGAAACATGGTATTTTAAAAGTTTTACATAACTTTGAATTGCGAGGTCGTTTGCCTCAGTTTATATCCAACTTTTTAACGGACAGACAATTTCAAGTCCGCGTGGGTACCAGCCTGTCTGATCATTATAATCATGATCAGTGCGTCCCACAGGGCAGTATTTTGTCCCTCACATTATTCAGCAGAAAGATGAATAGTTTATCGAAAGTTTGAAAGGATTCAATTGATGGATCACTTTTTGTGGATGATTTTAATATGTCCTGTCGTGGTAAAAAGGTGCATACTATTATTGAAAGGCAACTGCAGTTTTGTTTTATTAAAATTCATAAATGGTCCGCTGAAAATGGTTTTAAGTTTTCAAAAGCCAAGACTAACTGCATTCATTTTTGTAGAAAATATAAACCTCATAAAGACCCTGAATTAGTTTTGGATGGAGCTCTTATTAAAGTTGTAAAAGAGGCCAAGTTCCTTGGTGTAATTTTTGATCATCACTTGACCTTTTTGCCGCATATAAACTATTTGAAGACTAAATGCCTGAAGGCCCTCGATTTGTTGAAAGTGGTTTCGAATTCCAAGTGGGGAGGGGACCAAAAAACCCTTCTCCAACTGTACAGAGCAGTCATCCGCTCTAAGCTAAATTACGGATCCATCGTCTATGGTGGGGCCTGTAAGAGTAATTTGAAAAAACTCGATTCTATTCACCACCAAGGCCTAAGGCTTTGCCTTGGAGCTTTTCGAACATCTCCTACTGACAGTTTATATGTGGAGGCCGATGAGCCTTCATTGAAACAACGTCGTCTAAAATTATCATTATAATATTAAACCAAATTTTATTCAAACAAATCTAACCCAGCGTTTGACTGCGTATTTTAGCCCCTTTATGGTGACCTTTATGAAAAGAAATCTTCTCTTTTCCCACCTTTTGGATAAGAATTCAACCATTTGTTGCTGCTTCAAGAATATATCTTGACACAATAGCCCCAACCCAGCTTTTTGCTTCTCCTCCTTGGCAGTTTGTAAAGCCAGAGGTAGACCTTACTTTAACTAAACTTCAGAAATCTGCAACAAATCAACTTCTTTATCAACAACACTATAATGAATTAAGAAACACATATGATACTCACAAATCTATTTTTACAGATGGATCCAAGGATGGTGACGCAGTTGCTAGTGCCACTATCTTTGGATCCAGATCAATTTCATCAAGATTACAAGATGACAGCTCCATTTTACAGCAGAAGTGAATGCCATTTTAACAGCTCTAAAATATATCAATAACCAATCTACATATCAAAAGTTCAGATTTTTTTCAGATTTACGTTCGTGCCTTCAGGCTATTAAAATTATGTCTTGTAAACATCCACTTATACTCCAAATCGTTGAATTACATAATGATCTTGCCACTGGCCAATACGACATCGTATTTTGTTGGTGACCGAGCCATGTTGGAATCATTGGTAACACAATGGCCGATGCTGCTGCAAACTCAGCACTCAACAAATCTGTGACACCACATCTGATCCCATACAATGATTATAAGCCAGTTATTAGATGTTACATCAGAGATGTAATGAAGAAGACGTGGGACACCCAGGTGGGTATCAATAAATTACATGAACTTAAACCAACTATCGGTTATACTTACTTGGGTTGTCAGTCCAGAATTGAAGAGGTCATAATGCGACCATGTTGTATTGGCCATAGCAGGTACACACAAGAATATTTATTGAAAGGTGAGGATCCTCCATTTTGTATCCCTTGAGATGAAAGAATCACTGTCAAGCATGTCTTGCTTGACTGTGTAGATTTTTCCATCACAAGGGATAAATATTTCAAAGTGTCATCAATATCGGATCTTTTTCTAAAATACATGCTCCTTTAAACATCGGTTTTTCAAAGGAAATAGAATTAATTACTAAATGTGTATGTACAAAGATATATTTTATGAATTAGTTGTATTAACTGATTATTAACTGAGTTTGTTAGAGGCTATATCCTCAAAAGGGGGTTGAAGCAGCGTAAAATTATTGTCCCCCCGGAGAGGATGTGTAAGCCCACATAAATCAAAGTAATTTTATATCTGCCAGTGTTTTCATCGTAGAATATTTGTTTCTTTTAAATCTCTGGCTAAACCCTGTCAATGGTCGCCAGTGACTAAAGGGATGGTGTAAATCCTGCTGGGGTCCATGCAGGTAGCAAAGCTACTGTAAGTCCCCATGGTCCCCAGTATGGTGACCTCACTTTAGTTGCTGGTGATATATAGCCCAATGTGATATATTGTATTGTTTTGAATTGTCTATATTTTATGGTTATGTGCTAGTTTTAAACATGTATCTGTGATAATCTAGTTGTTTTACTGTCCTTCGACGACAGAATTTTATACAGTTTACATACATATTATTAAAGTTAAATTTGGTCTCGTCACGATATGGCTGCAATATTGCCGATGTGACGTTAAATATTAACTCACTCACTATTTATTGACTTTTCAACATATTGTGACGTGATACAGGTCTTAGATGATGACCAGTTTGGTGAAATCGACGATGCTGACAAACCTATATTTGTCATTAATGCGCATCTGACATGAGAACCCACGATCAGAGAATCATTGCAGGCCGACGGTACACTGGGTCACCCCTTACTAAAGGGTTGATGCTGACATGGCATTACAGATTAACTATAGTAATATGAAAGAATCGGGTGGTTCTTAACTTCTTTTGAGTAATACACAAAACTGCAATACCCTTACAGTATTACTTGTTGGAAAGAACGGGTATACACACCGTATGCCAGTGACGCACTGATCATAGGATTGTATAATATCGATCGCCTGTCGTTGCCATATGCCACGGAATCTTATATTCAGTTTGTGTGGGGTGTAAGTCTGCCAGAACAAGCATTCGCGCTCAGTTGGACCAAGTCTTTTGTCTTTTGATCTGTAGGCATAGACACACTAAAATGATGAAGAGACATCCGATAAAACGCATGATGCAAATCTCAAAGGTAATTATGTTTGAGTATCTGGTCTGTGTATGCTGTCATAACTGCGAACTTAAGTTCGAACCTGGAGCAACGTTCAAGCTGGCTGATTCAAGTCACAGTTTCTTGTCGATGGACATCTTTAATGTACATCACACATCGAAATCTCTCCTTTGTGTCAACCAATGCCTTCTACACACCCGTTGTGTCGGGGTGAGGTTTGCCCCCAGCACAGGCCAGTGTCACATGTACGCAGCCTACCAGACACAGACAACCACGGGGACGGGAACGACTGGGGACAAATACTACGTCATGAAACGTGAGTTCCAATAATTTCATAACAAATGCTGCAACAATGTAATAGTGGCATTTATACTTATGTCTCTCTCAAATGAATGAATTGACAAATGAATATTTCCTTTAAAAAACAAACTAGAAACACCCATAACATACCAAGGCATACGTACACTGCTGCAAGTGAGGGTGCTCCGATTGTTCGACTTCAGCTCTGTTCAACATACCAACGTATTTACCAATTAATTTAATTGATGTTATTTACAATATATGAGAGAGAAACACACTAAAACTGACCACAATATCCTGATGTCTTGTTTATGAAAACGATGTAACATGACCTTGGTTGCAGAGGTAATCGACACCTCGGTAAATGCGCGATATATTGTCTGATTGGTAATTAAGTGTGTCGATATTTCGATGCATCCTCTCATATTTGGCATGTGACTCGAAACAATAATTATTTTCATTTTGTCCCTGATCTTAAAAGATTGATTATGTATTCATCTTACTAATCATTTGTCAACAAAATATGAACAAAGCTAAATAATACGATTCTAAAGCTAACATGTAAAAATTCCATTCGTATACATTGAGATACCTTTTCTTTTGTTCCGTTAGGAGGATGCGGTTCACCGAATCCCTCTCAATCCTTTGTCTATAGGAGAGAAGGCGGGCTTGCCGCAACAGCCGTGTGCAGCGGTACAAAAGCTTTCCTAGGTATCAATACCACTGTTTGGTGCCTTTCCCCATCCTCCACATGGGCGCCAGCGCCTGGAAAGTGTGTTAGCACAGTAGGTTGTTCCCAAGTATTAATTCATCTTTCTGATACTGTGTGTTTCGTTCTTTTCAGGTGCATCTGTTCTTTCATTAACTCAATCAGTGAATCTTTCATCAAAATTGATATGAATCAAGAAATTCCCTCCCTGTTTTAGGCGTGAATAGTTACGAAACATGTGCCAATCACTATTGTAAGGGTAACCACTTGGCGGGTATTTGAGGGGTCATATAAGACCCACTTACCCAATGTATGTCATATGAGCTACCTTAAATGAGGATCGGGTAGTTACAATGAGATTTCTGGGCACGGCTAGCCGTCCATCGTTCGTTGGTCACAGTATCAAACATCCGTGAAGAACCGGGTTAGAATAGGCCTTCAGCAACCCATGCTTGCCGTAAAAGGCGACTATGCTTGTCGTAAGAGGCGACTAACGGGATCGGGTGGTCAGACTCGCTGACTTAGTGATACATGTCATCGTATCCCAATTGCGTGGATCGATGTTCATGATGTCTATCACTGGATTGTCTGGTCCAGACTCGATTATTTACAGACCGACGACATATAGCTGGAGTATTGCTGAGAGCGGTGTTAAATAACAAACAAACAATGAAACACTGGCTCATGCTGCAGCAAAAACACCACTTGCAAACATGTGACACTGTTGCATATACCATTCAACGATTACAAGACTTAAGAAGATAGCACATCAGAATAAGACGTGACACAGACAGACAGACAGACAGACAGACAGATAATTTATTAAAGACTCACCTCACAAGTACAGGGTAAAAATATGCTATACAGAATACAATAAAAAGTGAGCCACCCTTTAAGGGTTACGAGAGACTATATATAAACTAAAAAAAACCCATAAAAACCTAAAACTATATACACATAAAAGGTTATCACTAAAAAAAACTAGAACATAGAAAATATACCATTGAAATATCATAAAATATACACAAAATGAAACCATTACCGATTACAATATAAAACTTGTTTCCGCTTCTGTATTAACAGTTTGCAGGTTTTGGCGGAATAAGAAACATCATCCGGATGGGCTAAGATGAATCTAACTTTCTGTACATCTGTAAAATCATTAAAAGTACAGCATTTATCCACACATTTACTTAAGAGAGTAAAACGTATATCATTTTAAAGGGGACAGTTTAGTAAAACATGGATTTCATACTCAACTGGGGCGGTCGGGTAGCCTAGTGGTTAAAGCGTTCGCTCGTCACGCCGAAGACCCGGGTTCGATTACCGACATGGGTACAATGTGTGAAGCCCATTTCTGGTGTCGCCCGCCGTGATATTGCTGGAATATTGCTAAAAGCGGCGTAAAACCATACTCACTCACTCACTCACTCACTCACTCACTCATACTCAACTTCATCCGTACAGTAAAAACACGTTCTCTCCTCCACCGGTGTATTTGTGTATCGTCAAGTCTCTATGTTTATTGGGGCTACTCTGCTTCTGAATTTGGCTAAGGCACTTATATAACTCATGTGAATCGAGTTCAAAATATATGGTTCAACACAAATACCACTCTTAAAATGCCTGTACAGTCTCAACTTGTTTCCTCCCACACTTCTCTTCTGTGAGTTCTCTGTACATCAGTTTGCCAGCTGGCTCTAAAACTCTCCTAGATTTTGGCACATATTTCAGATGTGATAAAACAGGTGTGGAAATTGTTGAGAAGAGAGATAAAATGTTCTAGGTTCATACTCCTCAACTTATCATGAACTCGTTTGTTCCAGTTCCGCTTGCGACGTTCTGCTTGGGTGTTGCTCCAGAAAAAAAACTTTAGATAACGACCGTTCAGGGTGTATTGAACTTAGATGTTTATAAAACTTCATAACACTTTTCCATTGTCTCACAGATGGTGGGATCCATCCCATATCACCAACCAGACCTGCTTACGGCGCGTATTTGTTGAGTCCCATATAGAACCGCATGGCTCGATTATGTAAGGCATTAACAGCTGGCACGTTGTACTGACCCCAGATTGCAGCTCCATACTCAAATTATAGACTAGACCATAGAATCGTACTGTTAAGTGTACGTCTGGTATCTCATTCCTCCCATCACTTTGTACTCAGATATGAGGAGTCCTAGTGCTCGGCTTGCTGAACTTGCTGCCACCTTGCCCATCCGTCTATAGTCTACAAATTCAGTCAGAATTCGCACATCTGATTGGTATATTATGAAATTTGTAAGATGGCTGGACCTTGATTGGTGGAGATCTATAGCCATAATTCTGTTGTGTATGGTCTAATAATCTTATTATTGTTCCTACACTAGGTTCACATACAAATCTGTGATTATGTTACTGATTATTTTACTGTCCTTTGTTAACAAGTCCACAATTTAAATAAAACCCTTTATATTTAGGAGATAAACATACTGTGTTTTCAATGTAGAGCTAGGTTACCTGTAGATTCAACCGCGCAAAATTTATCGTTTGAAACCCCACGAGCGTTCAAATGATAAATTTAGCGCGGTTAAATCTACAGGTAACCAAGCTCTACATTGAAAACACAGTATGTTTATCTCAATTCCACCATGACTAAGTAAAACGCGAACTCTTTGATGTTAGCAAATATACTGAGTGAAGCGGCATGGGTTTAGTCCAGTGTTTTGAGTGGGTTATCGATCTGAATTACGGAATCACTGAACAAATTATGGCGCTGTGAATACTCAAGCAGTTTGTTTACACCGTAATACTTCACTCGAACATATGACAGGCATTGAAAGCATATAAGCACAGCAACTTGGTAAGCTAACATGAGGTGGGTATCCCTTAAGAAAACAAAGCAAGCTTTGCAAGGCTTTCGCTCTACATCGCGCGTCACCATTATGTCATATCGCTCATTGTGACGCCTAAGATATGACGTCACAGTCGTATATAGAAAAGCGCCAAAATTCCAAGCTATCTGTTGTCTCCAAAACGTAAATACATTCCCTTTGTAGATTTCTATCGTGTTTTCTGCCCGAAATGTATTGCCACACATCCTTTGAATATTGTAGTAACTGCACCTGTGCATTTTATAACCTGTAATTTAGATATAATTATTTAAATATGCCTACGACGACGACAATGACTGAAAATCATACTTTTCTATGATTATTTGTTTCCGCGGTGATGCGGCCGTCAAACCAGCTGTTTCAATCAGAGTGAGTTTATTGTGATTTAATAGCATCTGACTGACCAATCAGAATCGAGTAAATTCAAAATTCATGGTAGAATTATCTATCCACAATATAGTTGCAATACTGCCGACGTGACCAGGAAACCCAGTGTTTGATACTGTGATTGGTTGGTTGGATTGCTGTTTAACGCCGCACTCAGCAATATTCCAGCTATATGACGGCGGTCTATAAATAATCGAGTCTGAACCAGACAATCCAGTTATTGATTTCATGAACACCGATCCACGCAAATGGGATTGATGACATTCATAAACCAAGTCAGCGAGCCTGACCACCCCATCCCGTTAGTCGCCTTTTACTCATTAGCCAGTGAGTGAGTGAGTGAGTTTGGTTTTACGCCGCTTTAAGCAATATTCCAGCAATATCACGGCGGCGGATACCAGAAATGGGCTTTACACATTGTACCGATTTCGGGAATCGAACCCGGGTCTTCGGCGTGACGAGCGAACGCGTTAACCATTAGGCTACCCGACCGCCCCCATTAGCCAGTGAGTTAGCATTGATTTAACATGGCTGCGTACCTAACAAGAGGCTATGTTAAACTGGCCAGTAGCAAAATCATTATTGTGCATGATATGAAATATATATGATAGGGATATGTTTAAATTTGAAAAAAAAAATACTTTCAAGCTATCATGAAATTTGGTACATGTGTCGTCAGTAGTTGGCTCAATAGATCCAGTATATAACCAGGTATAGACCACTGTTAAACTACAAAATCAGTTCCCTGTTTTGCAATATGTTAAATTTGGACCTTATTTTAACCATGCTCCCATTAAATTCTCCCAAAAGGCATATTTCCTTTTGGTTTACTCCCTCTCCTGAACATGCTAAAATAGACAAAGTGAGAAAGCTAAATTTTGGCATTTACATATTTTCCTGTGATGACATCATATATGGTTCAAATCGTTAGATTTTAGTGTTTGTTTTCCTCTTTAGTGTTTTGTCAAAAATATTTCAATTTGAATTTTTTGAAGTTGCTTAATGACATTTAAAGCTGTTAACAACATATCCGTAGAAATATAAAATCATGTCACAAAATATTATCAACCTATCGATTCATTATAAACTTAGGACGATTATCAATTTTGACACTGTTTGATCTTGATCATAATGATGAAACAGGATTGAACTCGCACAAATTGAAATTGGATGTGAAGTGAGGCAAACGATCTCGTAATGCAAAATCAATATCTGAAAAGCCTAGAGGCTATGGCGATGGTAGTTTTAGACTATGGGACTAATGGGTAATTGACTGGGAAATACATGGATTGTCCATTTGTTTAGTTAGACGCGAATTTGTCGAATACATGTACTACAGAAAATATCAACTTAAGTTTACTAAAAGGTTTCACAAAGCGATCAAAGTTCTAAGGTGATCATAACTCTCATGCTTTAACATAGACAGTCATAGCGTCACGATCACTTTGCGGAACGAGGCCCTGAATTCCAGAATTTCTCTAAGACATTTCGCTTCAGTGAAGCGATGGAAACATGTTTACAGACACGTCTCGCAAGAAAATTCCTAAATGTTTTTACGTACGTATCGGTGACAATTGAAGACATAATGAGTAGAATAAACTTTCCTGAAAATTATATCGATACAGTGATACATGTACATGTGTGGTAGAATCATCATTTGTAATGATATGATTTTAATAATATTATTGTTCTAAGGTTTTCTGTAGCCTTATAGGCTGGATGTCACTTTTGATAGCCCGGGTATTTAATGTATTGTTGAAGTGAACACTTCAATGTATAGTTGCTACACACGATTAGGCGCTTATTGGAGGCACGTTGTCATGTATCATGTGTCATGTATATTTGTTTACCCTCCTTAACTCCTGTTTAAAATGAGCTTGTCTAACGCTCATTATTATGCATGTGCACCAATGGATGGGCGACGCACGCTGTCACCAACTATAGAAAAGGTCTTCAGCAACCCATGCTTGTCTCAAGAGGCGACTATGCTTGTCGCAAGAGGGATCGGGTGGGGAGGTACACACAGGTTACATTACCAAACATTTATTTAACATAGTTCAAAAGTATGACCTCTCAGTAGGTCTTATTTATGATACAAAGTAAAACCTTACATCTTTCTGGAAAGGAGAAACCAACATAAAAGCGAAATGTTTTGAAATGTAGACATCAAAGGCTGGAGCTGCTGGAATATAGCTTGTTACAAAGGGAAAGTATGCTTTTGGAAAGTTGAAGTCATCACACTTGTACAGTCTAGTGGAGACTTTGTTGACACTCTAAATCTTTATGCATATCTAAATATGAAACAGATGAGACGGTTTCACTTGTCTCTTTCATTTACAGTTCGGGTGGGTAGATCACTGAAAGGGAATTGCGTATTTCATGATTATTGAACGATATCAAATCATCGATATTCACGAAGTTTTAGTTATACTTCTTGGCCAAAAGGCCATGTTTTGATTTTGCCAATCCGTTCAAAAATTATGATTCATATGCTAATAGAAGCCGATCATCAAAAAGGGGAGTACAACTGATGCCTAGATATGCATTGTTCTTATCAAAATGTATTACACAAATATCACACCAATGCTATCAATGAGAATATGTTTCAGACGAAATCAAATCTCATTGCTCAACTTTAGGTCAATATTAGATTTAACCAGTGAAAATTACGCCACTGTCCTTTGTTGATAGCATTTAATAAATAATGTAAGCAGCTAAAAGTTCCACTATATTGAAGAGGCTTGGAACAGTCGCCTAAAAACTAGCCGAATACGATGATTCTTAGGTCGAATGTCTGATTTTGATTTTTGGTTTGTCAGCACCGTACCCAAACTCAACGTTTTTAGAAGATCTGGGTCACTTCAGGCTTTTCTTCAAACAATATGGACAAAATGGTTTTGAGCGAAAATCACTCATTCACTGTAATCATCAATCTATAAACACAAAACTATTCTAACTGACATGCCTTATTTTGTTGTTCCAGAATCCTCTACGCGTCAGTGGAACGTATATACATGCTTTGGATTCTGGATTGTCTTTTGTGGGGACGCCAACAGGAAACGTGTATGTCTATATGCTAGTTTGGAGATTGTAGAGCCTCATGTACAAGCGGCATCAGCAGCTGTAGATGTAGCATCAAAAAAGCTATTGTCGTCACATGTCTTTGAATTGAAAGTGAGATGCGCACCAAGCACCCAACCCAATAACGTCTTTCAATCATAAAAAGAATAAATCCAGTCCGAGCAGATCCCCAATGGCACTCTGGAGTGTATTCCTTGAAGCTCCTTAGAGCAATAACCCATTCAATGCTCTTAATGAGAGCTGACTTAGTGTCACCAAGCTGATGTCTATCTATCAGACAAGTCTATCTATTGTTCTTTGACACAGTTTGATATAGGGAAACTGATTTTGTTTACATCTTTGCACAGCATGTTCGAGGCTATGTCTGTACCGGGGATGACAATGTAGAAATGTAGAAGGGTATCAACACCAGGTTCGATGAACACTTGGTTACATTACATCAGTAGCATCTTTATAGTGGCCATGTCCTGGAATATGCTTCATGTTGAGGCAATGTCGTTTAGATTAAGCATCTGTGACATTTCTTTTGTGGTCAATGATTTTCAGTGATCCATTCATATAATTTTCATCACGGTTTTGCCTTTCACAGCAGATAATTAAGACTGATTATTCTCTTGCGTTGACTTTTTGTATTTGTGTAATGATTTATTAACTGTTTTTGTTTCACAATGAAGGTTTCGCATTTACTTCGTCACTGCAAATGAAGACTATTCACTGATGATTAAAGTAATAATTGACCAGCTGACTGTGGAGAGGAATAGTCGTGTTTCCTCAACCTGGCAGGGAAAAGAGTCTGACTTGGTGTCCACTTTCCCGTTTGAAATTGCAAAGGAGTTTACGATGGATATATTTTCAGCTGCTACAGAATTCCAGGTAAGATTCTGGAATGTTCTCTAAATCTTGATTTGGAGAGGGCTGTAAGTGTATTTGTAGCCATTTGGAAAATAAGCCCGGATTTCAATTAAGCACTCATTTTCAACAAACCCATACAATACATGCTTCCAATATCATAATGCCATAAGGGTATACTACTTTTCAATTAACTATGGGACGGGACACACAACGAAGTTAGAGGTGAAGTAAATATATCGAAAGGGCGAATTTGCAAGTTCCTATTTTCACTTCAGCCTCTTGTCTGTGGCCAGTGATGTCACTGTTATGAACAATCAGGTTGCACAACATCATTTAACTGACTCGATGGGTCACGTGGCCTGCCTCCCACATCACGCTGACACGCTGTTCAAACCAGAGCACTTTATATCAGTTCAGCGTTTTACACAGCATAATGTAACATGTCGGTTCTCAAACTGAAACTATGTTAACTTAGTAAAAGAATTGAGTGTAAAACCAACACACAAACAACCAACAATTGTATTACAAAATTAGCATAAGTAAGGATAAGATAATTCGATGAACAACTTCAACGTTTTGGTGTAGGTTCTTACACCGTTATCAAGCAAGTGATGATCACTTGCTTGATAACGGTGTTAGAACCTACACCTAAAGGTTGCTCCCAATTGTAATAAAGAAGTTGTTCATCCATATATATTATCCTTACTTAGTACTCCAAGTTCTCAATACCTCTCAGAGAAATAAATAACATAGTTTACAAATCAATACAAATTACTCCATAGCAATTATGACAGTACACAATAGTGTGGTTTTACAATATTCGATGGCAGTATAACATTTTAGAACAGTGGAAATGACAAGAATAATAATAAGCTCGCAGCAACAGTGAGCAACAAGCTCTTGAGATAGGCCCAGGCTGGGAATCCGGGATGAAAAGTGATCTTTGCACGGAAGCTTGTCTTGATGTCAGATGAAACGTGAGATGACAGGCATGCACCCGCTCCACATATATCGCCTAACCACATCCCAGCACTTTCTACACAGTGCCAGACCAGTCAGTGTCAGATGACTATTACAGAATATTCCACATGTTTCTGTAACACTTGACATCCATCCGTGCTATACCGGAAGTTTAAATATAATTTGAGCATCTAAATATTATATCCTCACCACTCCTTACATTAGATACTATTACATTCATGACAACTAATAATTGTCCAAACACAATGGAATGAACTTCTACAGAACCCCAAGAGAAACAATGTTATACAGTGACAATGTTTTTTTGACAATACATTTCACTGCCATATAGCAATAAGAAGACCATATAATTCATAAGTAAGTACGGTTTGTACCGTAAATCAGATTTGATAAGTCGATAAGTTGATGATTTCGAGACAGTTTGTACATGGCCCTTCCATTCTTTTAGATAGTAAACATTTAATCCAGGAGATACAACATTTCGTTGACAATAAGCATCAAAACGTGTTATAGAAAAAGTTATGTGTCGATTCAAAAATTGAAGCAATATGTTAACCCAGATATCCGTACTTAAAAGTACCCAGTGTGACCAACCAACAAGCGGTATACAATCAACAAATGTATTACAAAAAATAACTAGGTTTACAATCAGCAATTAGAATGGCAGTTCACAATAGGATGGTAGTAAAATATTGAAAGGCAATGAATAATATGATGGCAGTAGTCAGTATCAAATACAAAAAGACAGTGGTGATAGCCAAAGTCACTGATAATATACCGAACTGCATAAGAAACGTCACCCCACGTAACACTGCATGACAAGTTGTCATTTAAATATCTCGGTAATTTTTGTCAAAGTTTCTAAAATTTAACATTACCTTGTCCGGAAAAATGAAATATGTTGTACATAAAACAAAGCAGATGACAATAAAACCGATTGCCATAACGCATCAGGGCAACGGCAATGGTATAGCGATGCACGTGAGTTCCGTGCAAATTGAAATGCACATGCCTTCCCCCATTTCTTGCCCAATAAAAATACACCCAGATCGGATAACATTTATTCGTTATTGAATTGCTACCACATGCCAAGATTGACAAAAATCAGCGACACCAAGCCCTTGGACGATTGCAATCTGGACAAACCGCCCGGCAAGTAGCCAATGCATTTCAAGTCCACGTAAGGACCATATACAGGATCCAGCAACGGTACCAGACCACCAACACTACAGTTGACCGACCACATAGTGGAAGACCATGGGTCACCACCCGACGTCAGGACCGTCAGATTGTGCGACAGCAGCATCAAGATCACTTTGTAACTGCTCGACAGACCATGGGGACACACCATCGACACATTATTGCAGACACCGTGCGTCGACATTTGACGTGCAGACACCTCCACTGTCACAGGCCACACCGGGGACATCACGTCATCGCCGGGACCGTCTTCAGGGGGCAACACAGCACCAGCATTGGCGCCACCAGCAGTGGAGAAGAGTCCTCTTCTCAGGCAAGAGCCGTTACTGTATCTCAACAGCAGATGGCAGAGAGAGAGAGAGAGTCTGGCGACGCCGTGGGAAAAGTTATTCGGATACTTGTGTTGTTGAGAGAGATTTGTGGGGTGGTCCGAGCATGAAGATGTTGGGTTGAATTGGTCTTGCACAGAGGGCCTTCCAGAACATCGGTCCAGGGAGAAGCAATGGTGTCAAAGCAGCTCGGTACATTGATCAAGTCTTGAGATCACATGCCATACCTTATTTGGCACGTCGCCACAACCACGAGTTTCAGCATGATAACGCCCGTGCCCACACTGCGAGAGCAACAAGAGAGTTCCTCCAGCAGATTCGCATCACAACCATGCAGTGGCCTGACCTAAGTCCCAAATTAAATCCCATTGAGCACCTGTGGGACGAGATTCAAAGACTGCTGAATGACGTCCGACCAAGGCCGACAACTGCAGCTGAACTGCGTCAGGCATTCCTCAGAGTGTGGGCTCAAGTGCCTATGGCCTTCATCAACCGCCTCATCCATTCCATGTATCGACGATGTACGGCAGTCATCAATGCACTGTTTTCTGATGCCATTTTCTCAGAGACTTGTTTTGTGTTTCACTTTAAAAACATTAGACACTTTAATTTCAACCATAATGATCAGTTTTGCCAAGTTTCATCTTTTTAAAATGTCTCAAAGTAAGTTTACAGTGTTTGGACAAATAAGGTTTCTCATACATCTATGCATGGTTTCTTTTGCGGGTCAGTATAATATATATTCACCCAGCCGCGACAGTGGTCAAGCTTCCGTGATGGGCTAGGCAGGGAATCAGGGATGATGAGCGATCCTAACATGAAAGCTGGTTCAAAAGCGATGAAATGCGTGAGAGATACGCACACATGCTATTGTCCCCTTATATACAACCTACCCAGGCACTGGAAAGTTCCAGGCAGAGCCGTCATCAGTCCATCGGCACTAAAACATTAAAGAAGTTTCCATAACATACTATCGCCGTCCGCCGTATACCGGACCGGAAGTTTACACACCACACCAGCATCTGAATATTGTAACTTCCTGACGACTGATCACTGTCCAAACACAATGCAATAAGCGTCTTCCCAATCCCAGCAGAAACAATGTAACACAGCTACAATCACTGTTAAATAATAAAATACACTGTCATATAACAAAAAACATGTATACTCAACAACAAAAGTTCCTGTGTCACCAATATTTTAGTGTATTTTTCAAACAAGCAAAGTTTGCTTTTGAATATTGTAGTACATGTATGGAATCAAGTCACAAAAACGCAACTGCAACAGAAAAGCATGCATTCCAAGAAAAGTTGACTTTTATGTAAGCCCCATGCATTTCACTACCCAAGAATGGGCATAAAAACATTTGCGTTAACGGGATTCCATATGCATTGTTTAGCATCGTGCTGACAACAACCACTCAGAAAAACAACAAAATTACGCAATTATTCAACATTACGAAATGCCTTGCCTGTCCGAAAATGAGCGTCTGCGGGCCATTGGTATGCTTGAAGAAGGATCGAGTCAACGTGATGTTGCAAGACAATTTAACGTCCAAAGAAACACCATTTGGTGTTTATGGCAACGTTGGCAACAGACGAATGCAGTCAGAGACCATCCTCGGAGTGGCAGGCCACGCGTAGCCAATAATCGACAAGACAACTGGATTCGAACAACACACCTACAAAATCGATTCCAGCCAGCAACAGTGACTGCAAGAAGCATCCCTGGCCTTCGATGAATATCTTCACAAACCGTACGTCTCCGCCTCATATTGGGATGTGGCCAGAAGACCCGCCAGACATCCCATTTTGACAGGAAACCACTGTCAAGCACGTTTACAGTGGTGCAGACAGCGTCTACGCTGCACGGACATGCAGTGGGGACAAGTTCTATTCACTGACGAGTCTCGTTTTCACCTCAGCCACAGCGATGGCCGGATTCGAGTGTACCGACGTCCAGGTGAACGTTACGTCAATCATTGTGTCATGGAAGAAGATCGGTTCGGGGGCGGCAGCGTTATGGTATGGGGTGGGATTACAGCAAGACAGAGGACCCGTTTGATAGTGGTGGAGGGAAATCTCAATGGACAGCGCTACCGCGACGAGATCATCGGCCCTGTTGTTCTAACGTTTTTGAGTCGTCATGGCCCAGGCATTACCTTTCAACATGACAACGCCCGGCCTGATATTGCTCGACTTGTTCAGGATTCTCTTCAACAAAACACGCGAATGTCATGCCCTGGCCGGCTCGCTCCTCTGATCTCTCAACAATCGAGCACATGTGGGATGAGATGGATCGGTGCCTTCGACGCCAACCACGTGTTCCATAGACACTCCAGGAGCTTCGAAACATGCTCCAGCAGATATGGACAGATATCCCACAGGACATTGTGCGACGTCTGGTCCATTCCATGAGACGAAGATGTGTTGCTTGCATCGCAACCAGAGGTGGACACACACGCTATTGATTTGTAAATTGACATTTGGGCATGTTCATGTTTTTTTTTATGAAATCACGCATTTTCTGAAGTCAGTATGGCAAATTAAACCATTTGTACACTTACACGAGTCTTTTATCTGTTGCAAATCGCTTATTTAATGTCACAGGAACTTTTGTTGTTCAGTATATTACTATACACTTAGTGGCATAAGCCCAAACTCTCCCTGTCAGCATCCCCCCTCTCACTGAATCTGATACTCTTTAGCTATGATCTTATCAGTTGTTCCCCTGCTCCAGTGAAGCAGGCACGGCCAAGCTTGTCCAAGTTTGTTTACTTTAGGGCACTGATGGCATGGGCCAGCTTGACACTCAAGGATTGAAACATAACACTCCAAGACAAAACAGTGAAACTACAGTGACCAAATCAACGCTTTGAAAAACGTTTTGGAGGTAATAATTATAATAAAGTGTCTATTCACTGGAAACTGACATCCCTTGACCAATATTTAAATCATGTTCAATGTGGTAAGCATTTATATATATCGGGTTTAAACCCAATTAGGCAATTCATTAGCAATTACTAATGATGGTAGTTTTGGGTTAGGCTCATACTCATAGGTATGTTAGTGGACTAACCCTTAGTCTATATAATTTTGATAAAAACCAATAACGCCAATAAATTGAAAAAGAGCCACACTGAGATGAGAGATTCCGCTTTTAGAAAATTCTACACTTGCTTCATGTTTTAGGGCTATACCATTTCAGTAAGGGGAAGGCAGAAAGGAAACTAAAAAGCTTGAGATTCTGTGAGGCAGACTAGTGTTTTAATAGTATTCTGTTCAACTTGCTCTTTAAGTGAAAAATTTAAAAATGGATTTATACTGGAGCAAATTTACAATATGTTCGCCACTACAAATAATGTTCAAAACTGTTTGACTGCCATGAACACACAATGCCATTTAAAAAGTGGTCAAATGTAACAAATATTATATTTGGGATAACACTGGTAGTCAACTGGTAGTCTAGATCACATACTTTGTGTACCCCTCTGACAAATGTAAATTGGCAGGGCTCCCATGGCCAGTTGTCGGACTTTCATTTTTGTTTAAGCCTCGGTGGGTGAATGGGTTAGATCGCTGACTTTGTGTGCTGGCGATTAGGTGCCTCACTCTGGCAGTGTGGGTTCGAATCCTGGACGGGACTCAACCCAAAAAAGACCGAGAATCTGTACTTTGAAAAGAAAGTGTTATCCCAAATATAACATTTGTTACATTTGACCACTTTCTAAATGGCACATGTGAGCAGTGCCAATTTACACTTGTCAGGGGGGTACACAAAGTACGTGATTTAGACTACCAGTTGTCGGACTTTCATTTTTGTGGAAGCCTCGGTGGCTGAGTGGGTAAGATCGCTGACTTTGTGTGCTGGCGATTGGTGCCTCACTCTGGCAGTGTGGGTTTGAATCCCGGAGAAACTGTACTTTGCAAAGAAAGTGTTATCCCAAATATAACATTTGTTATGTTTGACTGCCACTTCAGATTATTAAAAGGATATATTATATGCCTCAATAACCTCATCAAAATCTAACGTAGCAATGTAAAATGGTTCCTCAAACCCTTTTGAGAATAATATGATGGGTAAAATTTTAAACTTTATAATTAGTGGGTTTAATAAGTAGCGAACATATTGCAAAGTTGTACCCGTGCCAATATACACTTGTCAGAGTGGTACACGAAGTTTGTGAGTACCATTTGTCAAACTTCCATTTTTGTCCCAGATGGGACTCAACTCCAAAAATGACTAGGGTTTGCACTTTACAGAGAAAGTTTTATCCCAAATATGACATTTATTACTTTGTACTTATTTATGTTTTATGTTTTATGGTTTATTTATGCCATCAAAGTTAGAAGAAATAGCGGTGACTATGGTATTTACATGAAAGGAAAACCAAGATGAAACTATTTCTATATAGTTTGTTTTAACTGAACTTCTCACATCTACATGGATGTCACCAGAAGACCACGTGCACCCCATGTACTGGGCAGTAACATGATGTACATTGCACCTGCAGGTTTATGAACACGCTTATAGCCCTTGAAAGATATTTGAATTCAGTTAGTATATACTGTTTCTGCTTCATGTAAAAAACCCACTTGATTTGTTAATTATGAACATTTGTTTTAATTATTCATCAATGTCTACTGTACTTTTGATATTTTCGTACACAACTGACTAGATAAATGTTACATGGCAAAAGAGTTATACTTTGTAATATGTCTTGCCTGCTTTTGAAAGCATTAATAAGGCCATTGTGTTACGCATAATAAATTTAAATTTAAATCTTTTTTTTTATCTGCAGAACATTTAAATGTTTCGAAAGTTGTTTAAAATAACCAAATATCAATATTTTAAAAGAAGACAATTATTTTCTGGACTCACATACATGTCTTCTGCTACAGAATAGCTTGTGGTCATTAATCAGATGTGACACCCCGGGGAAGCTGGCAAGAGGACCCCTGCTGATAGCGGGAGTTTTGGGGGGACTGGAATGCAGTTAGCTGTTCCTCACTTTGAGGATTTCAGAGTCCCTTATTCCACCAAGTGTATATCCCATGTCAAGTGTATTCTCAAGTGTTTCACAGAGATTTCGTATGAATATGAAAAGAGGTTTATCGCTGTTATTTATGGTAATTTTAGATATCGTTTTCATATGTCACTAAATCCCTTGTCAAGTGTATTCTCAATTGTGTATAAACATATATTTTTCATATTCATACAATATTTGATTGTATACAAAAGAAGATTATCTCCTGGGGCTGCTTGTAGTAGCTTAGACCAGAAGCAAAGCATAATTAGGTAAAAAAGAAGCAACATTCCAGGGTCACCGAGTAAAATTACCATGAGGGTACTTTTTGGCTACTAAGACGATTCTAGATTGTACACGTTCAGGCAGAATTTGGTTAAAGAAGCCCAACTTTCACAGGTACAGACAGATATAGGCTTTATAATAGAGTCAAAAAGTGTAACTTGATATTAAATGAACAAATGTTGATATTTAATCATTTAAATAACATTAAACATGGCTTTAGTAGCAGACTGCATGAGGTCATTTTTGACAAGAGTAAAGATGTTATTTCGAGGTACTTATAGGTACATACATTTTCTACAATTATATCGGAAAGACACAAAACATGTTTCTTATCTTTCTTGAGGCCATTCAAAGTTTGTAATTTTGTTTTAATTGGGTTTATGACAAGTTTGTAAAAGAGAGTAAATTTCAGATATTTTGCATTGTCAGACATAAGTACAATGTCGTCAGCATTTTAAAATAATATAAAGTAAATGAATGCATTTACCATAAAGGTTTCGTCTTTACACTTGTTTTTTCAACAGAAAATATTCTAAATCAATGAGAAATAAAGGTAAAAATCCCCCCTGTGGTACTTATTGTACAGCAATTACTCGGGCGCAATTATATTAATTGTTCAGTTTGATTCATGCATGCCAATATAGACCCGTGAAGATTCCGGGGTAGAATAGGTCTTCAGCAACCCATACTTGCCGTAATAGGCGATTATGCTCATCGTAAAAGGCGACTAACGGGATCGGGTGGTCGACTTGGTTGATACATGTCATCGATCCCAATTGCGTGATTATTGACTCGATTATTTTACAGACCGCCGTCATATAGCTGGAATATTGCTGAGTGCGGCGTTAAACAACATACAAACAAACAAACATGCCAATATATTTGGGTATGGTAGATGTTTCCCTGCATCACATAACCACACTTTGCCCCTGCCAAATATCTAGACACGATGAAACCACCGAGAGAACTGTATCTTCATGTCTCCTTGTCTACTGATAATTCTGTTTCTACAGTGAGTGCGCCTTGCATCAAAAGAAGACAAAAGTTTGATGTGTTTGATCATTAAACGTATCCACTGTTATGCATTGACTCTTCCATTTTTACGTTTCAGTGCATGGTGAATGGTGCGATGTTGTTTACCTTTCAACATCGTCTCCCGAGAGACAGCGTGGACCTTGTAAAGATATTTTCCGGAGCAAACATTGAACAGGTTTTGTTAATTTGAACATTCGATAACTGTTATGTGTTCTTCTGTGTAGGTACAAAGACTTTAGACATAGAAAAAAATCCTTTGTTATGAGAACTGTTCTAGTCTCGGATCCACATAATTATATTGTTTATGTCACAATATCTGCCATCACACATGTATGCTGCCGGTTGTTTGTAATGGCACATCAGCATCATTAGCGTGTTTACTTTAAGCCTCCCCGGAAGTGCTTTAGGATTGAATTGATAATCACTCAATGTGTCTCACCAAATACACAGGATTGATACTTAGTCCCTTTTGTTCTGTGAATTGTTCTATTCACGGATCTATGCTTTTGGTCACAACATATACCAACACACATTTATGGTGCCTATTGTTTGTAATGAAATAATGACAAATGTTTACTTGACTTCTTCTTTTGAACTGTTTGATGGATTGAGTTGATGATCACTGAATATATGGCAGACTATAAGAGTACGATTTTGAGCAGGAATAATGTATAATGCCCGTTTAATGCTGCCTCAGTGGCAACTCACAACCTAAACAAATCCCAAACAATTCAAATTCTACAGTCATTCAAAGGGTAAATTTGCAGAAAAGGTGATTATTAATCACACACATCTCACAGTATCAGAGACCAGGCGTCTAATAGGGTCCCTGCTTCTATTCCTTTGACAGAGTGTATGATAAAAGGTCGGCGTGTATTGGATGTCCGACGTAATAGAGAAAATACGGTTATTATTTTGAAAAATAGTGAGAAACCCCAAAGCCTCGACAAATTTTTTGGACAGCTAAGTTTTTGAATGACAGGTAGTCTCATTATCGGCAATATTGTTTGACGGTGATATTTAAATAGTAAATAGAGCCTGACAACCCGATCCATTTCATCGCATAATCAGCAATAATATTTGAGGGCATTGGGTTCCTTCCGTCTTCTCTTCATTACAGTGAGGTAATGCCTTACAAAACATCTATAAACTTGATTGGTTGGTTGGTTTGTTGTTTTACCCGGCATCGATGACATGTATCAACCAAGTCGGCGAGCCTGACCACCCGATCCCGTGAGTCGCATCATACGACAAGCATAGTCGCCCTTTACCGCAAGCATTGGTTGCTGAAGACCTATTCTACCCCGGATCTTCACGGGTCCCGCGCAAAAGGGATACGATGACATGTATCAACCAAGTCAAGCATGGTTTGCTGAAGACCTATTCAATAAGCTTGAGATGTCAACAGTTAAAAATCCCCATTGTTTTGACATATATACTGAGTGTTTTCCCTTTGGTTGTTTTCCGTATCTGTGTGTAATACTGCTGTATCCCGATCATAAGCTTATGTAGTAAACCGAAAGTGACGAAAGGGCAAACCTATTGTTGTATCTTTTTAACTGTGTGCATCACACATGTGTGTATAAAGCACATAAACTGTCAATTGCAAGTCATTGATCCATTTAGTCGCCAACAAGCATTGGTTGCTGGAGACCTATATTCTTACCTGGAATCCCCAGGGATAGCGAGGATCGGTGCGGTATTTCGTTATAACACATCTTTGAGTAAATGATTAAAAGATCTGTTTTGCGCCTCAGTCAGCAATACTCTTAGGTTGAGAAAGAGGACCGATCATAATCAAGTATGAGCCAGTTGTGGGAGCCCGTTTGAGGCGCCGAAATTCACTGTGCAGAATTGCGTTCCACGAGCACGCCAGAAACCTATTTTTGACGGTTCGAACACCGGTTAACCCCGATTATGTCGCAAAGTTTCTCCGCACCATACCCGTGCTTGTGGGTTTTACAGAAATGGTAAATGTCTGAGACCTGCATCACTCCGAGCTTTCCTCCCACACGCCGTGATTTCACTGGAATACTACTGTTCAAATCAGCGTTAAACCCAACTCACTCACTCACTTGGCCACTGGTGAACCGCATGGGAAGCGATTATGCCGTCCACACACGATCACCCAATGCTAGCCAGGTCACACATCAAGCACAAAGTAACCACCCGATCCCCATAGTTTATCAGAGGGAATCTGTAACTACTCTGAATCACTTTAAATGTCAATTCAAATGAGGAAAGACGTAGTAATCGAAGGATCATAATCAAAAGAAATCTTAGACTCGAACCTATAACCACTGGATCCAAATAAATGGCAAAGGCAAGCAGTTCTGCACAGCGTGAGCGAGTGACTTGACATTTGAATGTGCATCGTTTCAAGTTATATTTGTTTGTTTGTTGTTTAACGCCGCACTAAGCAATATTACAAGTTATATGACGGCGGTCTTTAAAATAATCGAGTCTGGACCAGACAATCCAGTGATTGACATCATGAGCATCATTCCACGCAGTTGGAATACGACGACATGCATCAACCAAGTCAGCAAGCCTGACCATCCGATCCCGTTAGTCGCCTCTTACGATAAGTATAGTCGCTTTTTACGGCAAGCATGGGTTGCTGAAGACCTATTCTACCCCGGATCTTCACGCGTCAACTTTTTACCGTGTGGTTTATGTAGTGCATTATACTCATTTAATAAGTGACATTCACTATCCTCAACATCTTGGTGCAGTCATTCAGACAGGATAGTAAATTCGTTGTTTACTAACCTTTAGGCCGCTGTTACTTATTAAGTTTGTTGAATTCAGTTGACTTTTTCTCATTGTTATTCCATGTGATCGTAACTTTTGCGTTTAATTATATAGCTGTTGTGGATGTGCCAACTTGAATGTTTCGTAAACAACTTGCAATTCGTCTGATGATTGTAGTTGGTTGCACTCCTGAGACCTGCGTCGCTTCAGTCGGGGCGGTCGGGTAGTCTAGTGGTTAAAGCGTTCGCTCTTCACGCCGAAGACCCGGGTTCGTTTTCCCACATTGGTACAATATTTGAAGCCCATATCTGGCGTCCCCCGCCATGATATTGCTAAAGGTGGAGTAAAACTATACTCAGACACTCACTCACTCGCTTCAGTTTTTCATTCCTGAAATGCCTTAGAACTGACTCCCCATTCATTGCGACATCAACATGATTTCATTTCTCATGATGAGCACCCATAAGCACATGCGTTTTAAGAAGCGACCCCTTTCCACAACCTTAATAGTCTGTGAGGTAAGGTGAAATGGGGTTTAACGTCGCGTCCAAGATTATTGCCCTTTTATAGCGACGTGCATGTACCTGTGTGTGTTTGTGTGGTTGCTTGTACTAGTCAGGACTGATGCCGATTTATAGTGCTAGCTCACTGAGATACCATGCCGCAGTTTAACATGAATATCCCACTCAGACACAGTATAATGACTCCGAGCCGACCAGTCCTTGTTTTACCCCCTTAAAGCCGAGCGCCAGACAGGGTAACAACAAGTACCATCTTTTAACGTCTTTTGGTATGACGCGGCCGGGGATCGAACCCCGGACCTTCCGCTCTCCGGGCTGACGCTCTACCATTAGACCACGGAGGCGGTCAATAGTCTGTACATCCGTGACGGTTCTCAAATTTAAACGCTATGGTTAACCCAGAAATAGGTACGTGCAGAACTAGATCGTGAAATCTGTTTATAACCACACAATATCAATGAACAATTAACAATTAACAAGTTATATTGAAATACAAAGGATAATGTTTGCAATCATTACAAAACAATGCAATGGATGAAATTAATGTTACACTATATGTGACAGCCGTAGAAAATGGGCCCTATCTACGAAGTCAGTCTACTCATGCATGTCCAGTAATTTTCACATTTGAATAGCTTCGATGTCCGACTTGTATCCAGGGATTAGCGTGATGAAAATAGGTAGAAATGTCAGCGTTTTCCGATAGGTATCCATTCCGTGACAGATGCAAGTCAGGTGTGAAAGGAAGGCAAGGAGACCTCGCATCGCCGTCGTCTCGCACTATATAAAGGTACTGCCTTCAAGAGGTATCTACTCCCGACATTGATGATGAGTCTGGAATAATGTGAAGATTCGGGTTGTTCCAGATCCTTGAAGAAATTTCGACACAGTGCCATCACAACGTAGAATATTTTACATGTTTCTATAACACTTTAAGTCCACGGGCCCGTGAAGATCCGGGGTAGAATAGGTCTTCAGCAACCAATGATTGCTGTAAAAGGCGACTATGCTTGTCGAAAGAGGCGATTAGCGGGATCGGGTTTTCAGGCTCGCTGACTTGGTTGATGCATGTCATCGTATTTAAACTGCGTTGATCGATGCTATTTATATCAGTCACTGGATTGTCTGGTCCAGACTCGATTAATTACAGCTATATATATAGCTGGAATATTGCTGAGAGTGACGTTAAACAACAAAGAAACAAGCAAATCAGGTTGTTCCAGTGTCAACAATGACAGGAACCATAGGAGGATAGCACTGAGACGGAGATTCAAAATATTCTCCCGGCCCTTTAATTAATTTGCCACATTCCTAATAAATACAGTTACATGCAAATTATTACATTTACTGCCATTATCTGAATCGATGTAACACTGTATTCAGGTTTTACGGCGAGTTGAAATCTCATATGATTTTGGTTTGCCCTTCGAGAAACGCGTGATTTCCGACTGATTTTTATTTATGAAATGATAGCAAAGGTATTTGATTTGCAAATGTATTTTCTGAAACTTTACTGAATGCGTCCAAATAATATTGGCGAAAACGCACGTAAAATCTCAATATTTCAAAAGACAAATCTGAGGACGTTCATGTTTACATTACAGGTGACGTGAAAACGTTCATCCGCTATGATATCATTATTGATGACTGCAAATTGAGCGATCGGCGTCTTAAACGACAGATGGACAGATCATACGAGTAGGCTGATGGGTAAAACATGGGTAGTAGGGTTTGTAATTTTACGCCGCACTCAGCAATCTTCCATCTAAATTACCAACGAAGGCAAATATATTGGGGTTCATCACAATCATATGTGCCCTTGGGTCATATCAGTCCTCGGCTATGACGTCGTTTCTAGTGTGAAGTCATTTCGACCTCACGTCACACTAGATTGGTTGTTGTTGGTTTGTTGTTTAACGCCGCACTCAGCAATATTCCAGCTATATGATGGCGGTCCGTAAATAATCGAGTCTGCACCAGACAATCCAGTGATTGATATCACGAGCATCGATCCACGCAATTTGGATCGATGACATGCATCAACCAAATCAGCGTGGTGAACTTGTTATGAGTGACCTCCCCTGGTCTGTTATTTTATACGCAAAAATCTGAACAGGGCTTCAAATCTTCGCAACTCACCCGGTACACAGGCCCCTGAAGCAGGATAGTGATATAACTGAAACACTGGACCCATATATATAAATAGACAAGGTACGTCACTCGCCATCTTGGCCGAAGTTGAAATCGGCTGTATCGTTTAAATTAAATGGAAATGTGTGCATGTCATGTTCACAATACCTCCACACCTCCCTCCAAATACGACCTGCATGCCACAAAACTTTAATTTTGGCAATTTATTACCTATATCGGGCGATTTTATCGACATATTGGCTAAGTCGCGGCTGTGGGTCACGGAAGTAAACAAATAATCTCCGCGCTCAATGGCGTCGAGTGCTGTGATTGGTCCGCGCTCCAACCATGACAAACGCACATGGGGCTATTTACCAATCAGAGCGCTCGAGGCCATTGAGCGCGGAGATTTTTGTATACTTCCGTGACCCACAGCCGCGACTTAGCCAATATGTCGATAAAATCGCCCGATATAGGTAATAAATTGCCAAAATTAAAGTTTTGTGGCATGCAGGTCGTATTTGGAGGGAGGTGTGGAGGTATTGTGAACATGACATGCACACATTTCCATTTAATTTAAACGATACAGCCGATTTCAACTTCGGCCAAGATGGCGAGTGACGTACCTTGTCTATTTATATATATGGGTCCAGTGTTTCAGTTATATCACTATCCTGCTTCAGGGGCCTGTGGGACGGCGGTCTGTATACAAATAATCAAGTCTGGACCAGACAATCCAGTGATT